TCTCTCTTGGTAACATTTGTGACGCATTTTATATCATGAACGGGGATCCCTTCGTTCGTCTGCAGCTCACTGATTTTCGCCGCCACGGTCTTGGAGACGGTATTAGTGGGATTCTTGCTTGATTCGCTTGGCCATCTGATGTAAGATAAGGCTTCCCCTTAGTCGGCAGTCGTTAGTGGGACAGGGGCGCGGGGTGACCTATCATTAAATGTTTTTGTACGTGACCGCGTAAGCTTCGGCGTGCTTATCCAAGTAGTTACTCGAAAGGAACGTTTGAATACCGGGAAACCAAACTTATACCCCCTTGTAGCCCATACGGCAATCACATAAACTGCAAATCATTATCACAATGATGTGTAAACACTTGCAAACTTCAACTTTCTCCTGTCTGCTGAAACATTTTGATAACTGCACATTTTGGTATATCACCAATCACAAATGTTTTCATAAAAAGAGAGCTCATTATCTGTTAAGAAATTTTTCATTCACATCCTCTTGATATATGGTCGATACTTAACTGACGGCCACTTAAAATCAAATTAAAAACATTTAATCCATCAGGTGTCAGTAGTATGGAAAAAGGAAAGAGGCTCGTCCATAGATGACGCCACCATGTATAATAGATGACGCTAGTAACGAAGACGATTTTCTTTGCCCGGAGAGAAAAAGTTCCTCTCGACTGACAAATACCGATATTGGTACGGTGCAACAGGCCTGGAAATGTATTATTCATTCATGTGTAAAGGAAAAACTTTGTCTCAGTTGATTCCAAGAGATTACCTCCCTCGATGACGCGCCTTATTGGACATATCAGGCACCGCACCGCTAAGATAGTTACACACATCAGACACCGCGCTGCGAGGATTGTTAGACATATCAGGCACCGCGTTGCTAAGATATTTAGGCGCATCAGTCACCACGCTGCTACAAGAGTTATGCGCATCAGTTGCTGCGCTGCTAAGAGACTTAGGCGCATCAGTCACTGCGCTGCTAAGAGAGTTAGAAGCATCACTCACCGCGTTGCTAAGAGAGTTAGGCGCATCAGGCACAGCCAGCAGTCACTGCCGCCATGCCGTCCCGCCATACGTATACGTATAGTCCACTGCGCCTACACACCGTCCCACAGCAAACACGTCCCACCACACCGTGGCTGATGTTGGACATCACGGCGCTGAGACCATGGGACAGCGAGCTCTCACTTATCACCTTTCCAGTAACTGATATCAACTGCCGTGTCACTGACAGAGCAAGAACTCCATCCCAACCCGCCGGTGGCTGGTGGACGTCCCAATGTAAATCATCCAGGTGCCTCCCAGGTTTAATACCACTGCGCCTTCATGGAAAGCCCATTTTGGGCTTTGTAGACATGCCTGTCAACGGAACATAAATACACGAAAACACAAATACGGAGGAACTTCGTCAGGGTTCACGGCACAACCACTGCTTAGTGTTAGATCGTAGACCACAAATCCATTCAATCAAAGAAGGTCTCGCTGAATTTATCTTGAGGACACGTCCCTGCGGCCCGCGCCCGCCAGGACGTAACAGTGGGGCGGGACGCCACGCCGGCACTCAGCTTCGATGCACCCGCATAACTAACACTGTAACGTTCAATGTAGACGGCCAAGCTAGCGTGGAAACGCCAGTGCCTAAGCCAAGCAAGATGGTTTTCATAGCTCAAGAAAAACGGCAGCATGTCGTTATGATGGGGAGCGCACGGCGTGGGTACTTATGTGCCCTTTTAAAAGGGCGAGTGGGGTGGACCGTGCTACATCAGTAACGGCACCAGCTCCAGGGGTGGTGTGTATACGCCCAAAAAAGTCCGGTGCATACCTATTGCATGTATGTTTTTTCGTTGGAGTACATTCCAATGCATCATGCATTCTACAAACATATAAAATACACGCTTGGCTATTACTGTGCTGTCATATCTTACGCCATTCCAGGTTACAGAAACGCTCATCCATTCAAAAAGGCATACTTATGGTACTTCCATCACAAACGTGTGCTCACGTCCTAACAGCATGTAGGAACTCTCGTTTACGTGTGGCAGCAAAGCATGAGTGGCTAAGAGCCCTCACGTAGTGTGCCAGGGGGTGACAGTCGACCAGAGCCCCATATATGAACTGCCGTTTGCCAATGTTCTGACGCGCCAAAGGCAGCCCCAATGTCGTGTGACTGGCGGGCGCGTCTTCTTGTCGTGTCGATGTTTGTGTTGAGTATATTTGCCAATGCTGATGGTTGCCCCGCTGTGCTGATTTAGGTTTAGGTTAGGTTTGACCGGTTTGTGCTGTCGCACACAAACATGCAGTAGCGAACTATGGACTTGGGCAAACTGTGCACTAGTGTTCCTACATGTTCGCTGGGAAGACTATGCCCTATGTGAGACAGGGCCACAAGCAGCCCTTTGCAACGTCCTTTCATGCTGGCAATATGCGTCGAGAAGGTGAGCGATCGGTCGAAGGTCAATCCAAGGTTAAGTGCCGTGTCGCTCTCCCCAACCACGCTGTCTCCACGTGGCCTGATACGGGCGGCGAGTACTGCATTATTTGCTGGCTGCCAATGACGATAAGCTGGGTTTTGCCGGCACTCAGTGTAAGAGCATGCTGCCCAAGCTTACGACCATTTGCGTATCGTTCGCGTATCGGACATCACGGACACCGCCTTCCACATGTCAACCGAGGAAAAAATTGACTGCAACAACGGGCCGAGGGCGCTGCCCTGGTACACCTCTATTGGATTTTCAAGCGGCCGTGATGTGAGAGGTCTGAAGTGTTTACAGGTGAATGCTTCTTTCTGCCTGTGGCTCTGAGGATGGCCTTCGACCAGTTAGGGTCAACGCCATGAAGAAATAGCTTTGCAAGAACTTTATCACGATTCACCGCAACGAAACATTTGTACAGATCCAGCAGCACAAGCAATGAGGATTCGCGCCATATCCATAGCACGTAGCGCAATATCACTTACGGTCGTCAATGCTGTTTCGGTTGAGTGGTGTTTACGAAATCCGTGTTGTGACTAGGCGAAGAGGTGGCGGGTATCGAAAAAGCTATACAGTTGCTCGTAAACGACTCGTTGAACTATTTTGGCACAACTGAGCACAATCGAGATCGCTCTAAAGTTGAAAGGTTCAGATAAAAATAATGTCGACTTGCAAATAATTTAACTCAAGACATTTTCCAAGCATCAAGAACTATACCGGTGTTCAGGCCGGCGTTCAAGATGGCGAGAATGACGTGGCAACGTAAGTAAACACAACGTTTTATGGCATACAGAGGGAGACCGGTATCACCACAAGAATTTGAGTTACTCATATTAAGGATAACAGAATGCATGTTCTCAAGCGGCACTGGGTGCACTCTAAATTGCTCAGAACATACTCGGGTTGGAAGTAATGGCAGGTCCGGTGTAGTTGTTTCAGCTCTGGCAGCCATCACAGCAGCCGCTGTTTGACTTCCAATCCGCGCCAAGCACCTGTTCATAACGTTCGGGTCGACCTCTAAAGATGTGTTCGGGCCGTCTCCCTTGCCAGCGATGTTCGGCCGCATACATTTATACAAACTGGTTGGCCCTACCTCTCAGATTTTCCTGCGGATATCCTCACGACCATCGCGACGGATGGCTGATTTTGTCAGTCTACTCAGCTCCCTGTAGCGTTCATTATCGCCCGAGGCCAGTGCAGCGCTGCGCTTGGATATGACCTGCTTCGTTGCATCGGTGGCTCGATGTCGTCTAACACGGCAAGAGCGTGGTGTACCAGGTACTCAGTCAGCTGACCCGGATGTCCGCTGGTGAAAACCGGGCTCCAGTCGACCTCGATCAGCCCCAGCTGGATGGCTGTGAGGTCGACCTTGCTTCAACACCAGCTCCGAACAGAAACGGTCGGTTATCCGCATCAGGGAAGGTGCAAAAGAGCGCGAGTTAAGCCGTGAGGACTGGAGTGGCATCGCCCCGCTCCCGAGCGGGTGGCGGCTCCAGGCTGGCTGGAGAAGATAGTCTCGGGTGGAGCGAGATGACCGGTAGGTGGCGCCACCGCGCATGGAATGCGTGTCCCCGCAGAAGACCCATCAGACGGCGAGCCGGGGCAGCTCCGTCCGTGTTTCGCAAGTCTCGAGAGTCCACTCGGGCCCCTTTTCGGGGTCACTCAGACACGCCTCCTGGCCGACTTGGGAACACTTGCTGAGACAGGACTGCTGTGAGGCATCACGAGCCGCTGACCGACACTGGAGCCCCTAATTGTGTCAGAGACCCATTCCAGTGAAAATCGCGAGTCCAGGCCTTGTTCCTGCTGGGGAAATGGGTCTACTGGGCTCGGGCTGACATGGAGTTCTTCAGGTCGAGGCACTACGAGTGGGGAGGAGGGTCCGGGTGAAATGGGACCCTTGACTTTTGTTCCCACGACGCCCTTTGGGCTCCCTCAGACACGAATCCTGACCTACTCGGGGCCTCTTGCCGACTTAAGACCCTATGTAAGACACTGTGTCTCCTGACCGACACCATCACTCGAGCTCGCGCTTCGCACACTCAGCGAACTTCCGTGAAGATATCAAGCTGTTCAGTGCATTAACGAGGAACATTATTCACATAGATGAGACAGCAGTATTAGCCTTATTCCTCGGAAAAAACAGGAGAATTGAGATATAGTCAGGTTGATATTTCGGCAACATGCCTTTATCGAAACGATAGCGGAAGTAGACCTCAGTAGACAAACAATAAACTTCAGCTAATGTTTCGATAAAGGCATGCTGCCGAAATAGCAGTCTAATTATAGCTCTGTTCTCCTGGTTTTTCCGAGGAATAAGGCTAATACTACCGTCTTATCTATGTGAAGACTTAAAGGACGATTTCTAACTCCCGTGAATATATGAAGACTAGAATAATACATAAAGATATTACGAATGATTTCTAACTCCCGTGAGTATATGAAGAATGATTTACATCCACATTGAAATCATGAAGCGACGTATATCATGTCTGTTGCCGACCAGTAACACACCATATCAATACAAACCGCTTTATTAAAAACGAGAGGATCACTTCTCAGGGTGCCCAAGTATGGACAACATATGAACCACATAAGTACACGTTTCCAGTTTGCCTCCGGCATATATACACATCCGCACGACCACACGTACATTTACGCGCACAAACAACCAACAGCCACACGGCTATGATAAGTGCGCGTGCACTGACAGGGGCTCACACTCTACAGTAAGGACGTCGAGACGTGACAAACGGGTCACGCCCCGACCGCTGAGCAATGAACGGCACGATGAGGTCGGCAGCGACGGCGCGGCGCGGGAGCCACCGGCCGCAGGGGTGCGGCTGCCAGGCTGCTGCCGTCGACAACGGAACAGCTCCTACGACAAAACAAGGCGGCACGCAATCGTGAATAAATAACCGTCTACGCACACAAACCACACGCACATGAGCAAATCGCGCGTGGCGGCCGCCATAGTGAGAGACTGGACCAAGTGAAACACGACATAACGATTCATTTGTCTTAAGTTATCGATAATCAAGGTGCACGTCATGGGCGCTCCTCGGACGAGAACATAGTGATGACCACAGGAAGCCTGCCCTGTGACCTTACGCTCGCCGCACAGACGTCATAGCCTCTAAGTCACACTTACAGACACACCGGCCACCTACGGGCGTGAGGCCGCACTGTCGGCTGTGCAGTGCCGCACAACGAACACGGACACCACGCTGAACACGCGGTGGCGACGGAGAGGCACGCAGTGGGGCGCCACCGTCCGCTGTATGTCGATAGTAACGCGCCCGCTCGCAGCACGCCGACGCGCTGAGGTTTGATCAGATTTGGGTAGACGCGACGCGAACATCACGGTGTCGAGACCATGTCGTCGATGGTCGGCAAATGATCGTGGAAGAAGTGAGCATGTTTCCAAAGTTGTCGCATTATGCAGCCCATGATGAGTTACGTCGAACGGTCCACGAATGCTAGTGTTGTGCGATCCAATATGAGCGCACAGAACCGCACGGAAAAATGCACAACACCGCGAGGACTCGCGAGTATGCATGGCCCTGGCAGTGTATGCATACCAGACTCGCCATGGAGAGATCGGTGATCGCCTCCGCCACTACCAATGAGCAACACGAAACCAATCATGAAACAAACGGTTTGAGGCAATCTTCATCAATGAAAGGAACATGACCAAAGCAAACGAAAAAATTTTGCCCTTTGTTACTTTGAAAACGAATGCACCACAGGCGCCACGCCGTCCGCTACGACGTCCGACGATGACGCGGGGACAAACCGAGCATCTAGATGCGAGCCTTTGACACCCGCCGTTGCGGCTCCTCGGAGCGCCCTGTTCGTCACCGTGAGGCCACGCGCGGTTACACTAACAACGCCAGGGTCGGGCAGAGGCCGGCGCGACCCGGAGCGCCGCGTGTCTGTGTGGATGAAGCCGTCCGTGCGGGCGCGCTAAAACGAGATCGGCTGGAAAGTGAGTACTGCGGCCGGCGGCGGGCGCGCGGGCCGCCGCGGCCGGCCGGCCGCCCGCCGCGCGGCGCGCGAGATCGACAGCTGACGCGGCACAAATCGGCTAGATGGCACTAGTGGGCATTGGCAGTGTGCGGGCAGTGATACGTCTTGTACTACACAAACATCACGCACAGGAGTACAGGTATGTACAAAACTGCAAAACTGGAGCGGGGGTCGGAATGGGTCCTGGTCCAAGCCGACCGAGCTAACTACTGGCAGTGGTATCGCTGGTCTCTTCAACCCGACTTACTAGTCGGCGCCCCTGGCGGCGCGCAGCCGAAACTGCGCCGCCTGGGGGCGCCCCGTTCGGCCGCCCTTCCTTACCCACTACGACATACACGCATCAACATTAGAACAATTTGTACTGGAGACTCGCTGCCGACACGACGAGGAGCTGCCCTGAGCAGTGGCCCGGCGGTCCGGTGGTCCGGCGGTCCGGTGGTCCGGTGGTCCGATGGTCCGGTGGTCCGGTGGCCCGTTGGTCCGATGGTCCGGCGGTCCAGTGGTCTAGTGGTCCAATGGTCCAATGGTCCGACGGCCCGTTAACCCGGTGGTCCAGTGGTCCAATGGTCCGACGGTCCGGCGACCCGGTGGTCCGATGACCCGGTGGTCCCGTGGTCCGGCGGTCCGGCGGTCCAGCGGCGCAGCAGGCGCGGTAGGAACGTTGGCGGCCGGCGGCCGGCGGCGGCGCGCTACGCCGGCCGGCCCTTGCGCCGGTGGCGCGCCGGCGGCCCGCCCACGGCGTTGGCCACGCGCTGCGCCGCCGCCGCCGGCAGCTGGCAGCACGGCACGTGCCGCGTCGGCCGGAACGCGTGCGCCGGCATCCACTCGTCATCGACTCTGCGGGGCGCGCAGCGGCGTCAACACCAGCACACGGCGACAGGGGACACACGGGTGACAGCAGGGATCGAGACGAAGTGGCGACAAAATACGAACGCGTTTCAATCGGAAAGAGCACTCAACGCCTCATCCCGAATCCCCCCCCCCCCACCAAAAAAACATACTCCAGTAAGACGAAAACCGCAAACTATTAAACTCAACCAACAAACTCGTTTTGCCGCCTTCCTGGACAAAATCTGCAGTGAGGAGCCTTCGTCTGCGTGCCCAGCCCCGCCCGCGGCATCACTCACATGTCCGCCGGCTTCCAGCGCACGAGCAGCTCGGGCTTGTTGTCTGCGCACGTTCTGCGAGCGATCACCTGGGGAGGGAGGCGCCGCGTCACACAACGCCACCTGACCACAGATCTGACCACAGATCGGCAGTCCGGTCTCCGGCTCCGACCACCGGCCCGGCGGCCCCGAACCGCCGGCCTCCAGTGTCGGGCGCCACGGCTGTCGCGGGCGCCAGGACCGGCGTGGTAGAGGCGCGCCAAAACCGAGGATGTGCGTGACCAGCATGACGCGGCATCCGCCAGCGGGGCGTGCTATGAAAAGCTGATGTGGCAAAAGTGCCAAGGCGGACGTCCTTAAATCAGGGAATATCAGAATTAAGGCCATTTCACGGAACATTAGAATCGAGGCAAGTTCAACGCAAACTGATGAAATCCCTGTCACGCCTATCGTGCCACATGTTCCGCCCATGCCAGCCAACGTGCAACTTAAAAAGGTCAGGGAATTCCTTCAGCGCGAAATACTGACGTCACGCAGGTATGCAGATAAAAGTGGACTAATGCACCAGAGACGTCACGAATTTAGCCACAGGGATTATTACAAAAGAATGCCGACACGTCAGGTTGCTCAGCAATGCTCCCGAACTTTCCGCCGCCGTAACACACACCCCAGACTCGCTTATCATTCGCGCGCCAGGCTTCCTGACCGCAGTATGACCGACTAGCCATCATCACAGCGGATTCCAGTGATTGCCGCTCGATAGCTCAGCTAATCAGGCGGCCAATATGAGCGTGCCTGAGCCACAGGACCGCTTATCGCTGTCCAATACGGCGGCGGGAGCGGGCTTATCGCCGGGCGGCGCTCACCTGAGCTGAGAGCTGGAGGCCGCGGCCCGAGACGGGCGCCAGCCGCTCCAGCGCTCCGTCCACGCGCACCAGCTGGTACCGCAGCCGCTCCATCACGGTCGCGTCGCAGAAGTCGAAGATGCGCGCTGCGGGCACAGGGGCGACGTCAGACGAGCGGCGGGGGCGGCTGGCGGACGAGGAGCCATCGTATCGTCCACCTCCGAGGAAGCGCGCCAATGGGGCCCGATCATACGCTGCCCTCTCGCCACCTCGAACACAGCTGCTGCGTGACCCGATACGACGCAAGGCGAGAGCGGGCTCGACACGAACCGCTCCCCCCGTTGGGCTTCACCCTGGCGCTGCTGGCCGCTCCGGGCCCAGGCCGACTAGTGCCACCCGGCAGTGGTCACACCGGCCGGGGCTCAGAGCCTCAGAGTCCCCCCCCCCCACCCCCACCCCGACCACAACAGACGGGCCGCCCGATAAAGCCCCCCGCCAACACCTCAGCGTCAGACACTGTGCACGGGACACCAGGCGTCGAGCCGATCCAGCAGGGTACTGAGGCAAGCCACGGCGGCCGGCGCCCTGCGCGGGCACAGCCCGTCTTGCGTCCGCCCCAAACCCGGCGGACACGCGCCGGCCGCCGGTCCTGACGGCGTCACTGCGGGTCACCGCCGGCCTCTCACTTACCCGAGTAGGGGTGCTCCTCCTGGATAGCGCGCCGGCTGCTGCGCCGTGACAACTTGGTCGACGCGTCGGGCCGCTTCACCGGCGGCGTCGGGTTGAAGTGGCCGTTGACGTGCCGCTCCAACACCGACTGCGGGCCGAGGAGGCGTCATCAGCAGGACGGCGGCGGCAGCGGCGGCGGCCGAGCCGCGGCGCCGGACGCCGCCCGGAGCGGACTGACGCGGGCTCGCGGCCACATCATCTTTATAGTGGAACCACGCACCGTTCGTGCCCGGCTCTCCTTCTACGGTCAGGCGCGAGCCGGCGCCGCACGATGCGTCAGGGAACCGGTGACGGGGCGCTGAGCTCACCGGTGACGCCGGCGCCGGCCGCCTGAGTCAGGCGCGCGCCGCCGCGGGCGTCACCGCCACCCGCAGGCCCTGCGAGCGAGGCTCCTTGCGGCCCGCTTAATCACGGGTCAGCGGGTGCTCCGGCGGAAGACGACACTGACGTCACCGCAGACGCTAGTCCGAGGCGGCTCCGGTCTCCGTGACGGCGGCGGCGCGCCCGCGACGGCCGTCACGTCCGCTCCCGGCGGCCGCGATGCTGCACCGTCTGCCGCCGAGCGCGACCTCACACTGCGGCGCGCCGGCCGGCGGCGGCGGCCGTGCATTGCCCCGGCGCGGCCGGCCGCCGGGGCCGTCTGGCGGCCGCCCAGACGCCGTGACGTCACGCCGCCGCCGGCCCGTTGCCAGCCGGAGCTCTGCACGCCGAGTGTGTGAGTGCAGGCCCGGGCGCGGCGGCGCACAGCGGTGCGGCGCCCGCCGCCGCCGGCGCGAACTGCCGCACGAGGCCCGCCGCGGCGCCGCGCGCGCGCGTCGGCGCCGACGGCTCGGCTCGGCTCCCGTGACGCGCGCTCGTAAGCGGATTTGTTCGTGAGGGTCGCCGCCGACTCAAAATAGCGACATTCCTTGCGGCTGACCTTTGCATTTTGTTTCGCGTGAAGGCGGCGACGACCGGCCCGGTGTGTGTATGTGGGCGACCGACGGACGTCTCCAGGGGGAGGGGGGGGGGGGGGAGGGAGGCGGCTCGACGAGCCCCCGGCGCCGCATACGTGCTGCGCCGCCGCGACTCGTCTCCGCGCGGGACGCGGCGCGTGCGTCGAACGCGGTGCAGCTCTCGGGCAACAAAGCCGTCCGAGCGGCGAGGAGGGGCCGCTCGACATGTGTAATGTGTCGGGCGATGACCGCGCCGTCCCATTTAATTGCGTCTGGGTTCCAGGTGCCCGGCCGGAGCAATAGAGAAGGGTCCCAGCAGAGCCGACATAATCTGCGAAATCATGTGATATCGCGCGCACCTGGCAACGCGAGTCATGACCGTGCGATAACTGCATGCTGGGAACCCAGCTGTCGTGAACGGAAAGGGCTTTGCAATCGAACGACTACGTAGAACGAGCAGGTTTGACTTATGTAACACTTCGCTTAGACGAGCAACCTCCATATTAAAATGTCGGGAGCAAGTTCTTGGCCGTTGGGTTTCCTACTGGCAGGAATCCAGCACGAAAGGCTACAATTAGACATTAGCATTCAATTCCACACGTCGACAACAATCTTCCAACAATGGCCGTGCGCGCAAGAGCGATACAAGCTCCTCCTGCAAGCATCCATCACTTCAGCGCCGCACGTGGTCTCACCTGCGAGGAGAACCGCTGCGAGCAGCCGTCGACTATACAGCGGAACGGCTTGCTGCCGCCGTGCGTGAGCACGTGCCGCTCCAGCCAGGCGGCCGAGCCGGGCCGGTCGAACACCTTGCAGCCCTGCCAGAGGCAGCGGCGCGAGGGGCCAGCGCCGGCGCGCTGCTCCTGCACGTGGCGCGCCTGCAGATGGTCCAGCAGCTGCGTCGGCGAGCTCAGCCGGTCGCCGCAGCCGCGCCAGCGGCAGCAGGTGAGCGCGTCGGCGGCGGCGGGCGCGCGCCGCGCCGGGAAACGCAGCACAGGCGCCTCGCCCGGCGTGCCCGGCTCACTGGCGCGGCCGAGGCCCGAGTCGACGCTGCTCGCCTCGCTGGGGGCGCGGCACAGCGAGCCGTCCGCGCCGGGCCGCTTCTGGGACCGGCCGGCGTCGGCCGGCGACCAGGCCGGCTCGTCGCCGCGCTGCTCTAGGCCCCAGAGCGGCGGCGGCGGCGAGCCGTGGCTATCACAGTCGGCTGGCGGCAGCGGCACGCCGGCGGGCTCGGCCTCCGCCTCCGCCTCGGCTGGCGCCGGCTTCAGGCCGTGCAGCTGCTTGCGCACCGAGCGGAACGCCAGCGCCGATATGTGCTTGACCTGCTTGCTGAAGTACTCGGTGATCTTCTCCTGGACGCGCGGCCGCGGTTCGACCGGCTCCGGCCGCAGCCGCTTGGCCAGCCGCTCGCCGGAGCAGGCGCGCCGCCGCTTGGCCGGCCAGGCGGTGGCCACGGCGGCCACCGGCTCGTCGCCCTCGCTGTGACGGCGGCCGCGGCGGCGCGGCGGCGGCGGGTGCCGCGGCGGCCGCGGCCAGCCCGGCGACGGCGGCTGGCTGGGCGGCATGGCCGAGTCGTCGGCGAAGCCGGCGTCGCTGGCCTCCGAGCCGGCCGAGCGCGGTGAGAGCGGCGAGCTCGGACCCAGCGACGTGACGTCGCTCGTGCCGCAACTGCCCGGCGCCAGGATGCCGCTGCGGACGGGACCGGACGTCAGGGCTGGGCACACTCGGACAGGCGCGTACATAGCGACGGACGACGTTCACAAGACGGCTGCGTTCTACGACAAATAAGTGGGCCGTCGCTGATCAACAAAAGACGGCACCGGGTCAACAGAGTACAGAAGCACGTGCTCACGTGGAGACCGGCAGGCCCCGAGCGCGTCACGGCGGCACCGGGCGCTCACCAGTCCCATCTCTCGGCCGTCGGCGACATGTCCACCAGCGCCCACAGTTGCACGCGCGCGTCCCGGTCGCCTGCCAGAAATCGCCGCATGTGTGCGAGCCTCGAGCGGCGGGCGGTCCACTGGCCGCCGGCCGCCGCCGCCGCCGGCTACACCTGAGCGCCCCCCCCCCCCCCGCGCGCGCAGCTCCGGACGTCCGATCGGGTGACGTCACGCGCGCGTCATCGAGCCCCGGAGGACGGTCGGTCGGCGGCGGCGGCGGCGCCGCTCGACATTTGGGTCCGGACACGCCGCCGGCGCCGGAGGCCGGCGGTCGACGGCGCGGCACGAGGGGCTTGAATTCCCGCCGCCGATCGATGCCGCGTTTGGAGGCGGCCAGCCGGTCGGGCCATGTGTTCCCTCCCCGTGTTTGTCATGCTGCACGGTTATCGCCGCCCAGGGACCTCCCGGTGGGCCGACGGGGAGGGCCTGGCTGCCGAGGAGGCCGAGCGGGTGATACGGAGCGGGGAGGGGGGGGGGGACGGGTCAGCGGCCCGGGCGGCACTCCGGGGGCCCGGCCACGTCAGACGGGCGCGGCCGCCCAGAGTCCGCCGCGCCGGCCGCCGCTCACCGCAGTCCACGCGCCGTGCACAGCTGACGGACGCGCCAGCTGACAAATCACGCCCGCCTGATGTATGCGGGCGGCGCACGGCAGCCGACTTCTCACGCCCCGCCCCGGCCGCCCGGCGCGGCGGCCCGTGCGACCGGCGGCCTTTAAACACCGCTCCTGTTGCTAACTCATTAATTGCACGCCACGTAAACACCGGGGCAAGACGGAGCCATTAGTCGTGCCGTAACTCAGGGCCGTCTGGGCCGGGTGACGTCACGTCCTGCTGAGGCCGGCGCTCACGCAGAAAAACAGCCTGGCCGAGAGGGGAGGGGAGCGCGCGCTCACCGGGGGACGGCGCTCCGAGCGGGCGGCCGGCGGGGACGCGGCGCCGCGCCTTTTCACCGCGCGACGCGCCGGTTAACACGCTTTAGCTGTTACACGGATTAGCGCACGCGGACGCGTCGTTAAATTTGCGACACGATACAAATCAGAGCTTTCAGCGCTGGCACCCGGGTGAGGAGGATGAGGAGAAGGGGGGGGGGGGGGGGAATCCAGCGACTTTGACTGATGCGCTAACGGGCGGGCCCAGGCAGCGCGGGCTCCAGCCGGCCGCGGCGCCGAGCGCCGGAGCACACGGAGAGCGCGGGCTGGCCGCCGCCGCCGCCGCCGCCGCGGTCAGCAATAATGACAGGGCCGGCGTTGGGCCCGGCCGGCCAGCGGAGGGCGGTCGCGCCGGTCAGACACGGCGTGCTGAGGCGGTCGGGACCCGCGCCTCCAGTACGCGGCTGAGCCACGGGTCACCCACCTGAGGGCGGTCTGGCCTCGCGACGAGCCCCACTCACAGCCGTCACTGAACCCCTTCCACATCCATGCTTAGCTCGGCCCGGCCACCGTGCCCGGTCCAGTCCCACCAGTCCCGACCTCCCGTATTTCCAAGCCAGCGGGCGCCTCTCGTTCGCTGGTCGCTCGCTCCCGCGTTCCTCCCGCCCCCGGCCTCCCCATAGCCGGCTATCTGCGGCGCTGCTCCCGATCAGCAGAGGTCGCTCCCACCCCCGGGACGCCATTATCGGCCAACGGTAACCTGCGACCGGCGGCCAGGGGCGGGGCGTCGGCCGCGCCGGGCCGCGTGCACGCCGTTTTTTACGGCGCGTCCGAGGCGCGGCGCCGGCGACCGGTCCGGTCCGGCTGGCGTGCGCGCCGAAAGCGGGTCGGCCGGCGACGGCGCGCGCACGGCGCCGCTCATCGGCATGCCGGGCGCCGCCGCCACCGGGGGACGCCGCGAGCGCGCCGGGGCAGGTGCGTGCCGCGCGCGCACGGAAGCTCCTCCGGCAGTGCGCGCGCTGCGCCCACGGCGGCGCAGCTCCGGGGGTGGCTGGCGGGTACCGCCGACCGCTTCACTCTCCACGCTGCTTGACCGCTCCACAGCCACCGGCGCGCCGTCCACAGCGCGGTGGACGGCGCTAGTTCGCGGCGCGGCCGCGCGGCGCTGGCGTCGCCGGGCGGGAGGCTGCGGCGCGGGGGGGAGCGGCGGGAGGGCGAGCGATGCGCGGAATGTGGACGCCGACGCCGGCCGGGCCAGGGCCGGCGTCCGAGCGCGGTGCGTACGGCGGCGGGGCGCCGATCGATGCCGGCCCGGGGCCGCGCCGCTGCCGGCCGCCCCCGCCGCGCGCGCCTCCGGATATGAGCCATTCGGCGACGCGCAGTGACCGCAGCCGCCGCCGCCGCCCGGGGCAATGGTCAGGCCCGGACAAAGGCGCCGCAGACACCGGCAGACCAAGCCAGGCGCTGCTCGGGCGGCCCCGCCCAGCGCCGGAAGCAGACGCTGCTCTCGGCGGCGTGCCGCGAACCCCGGGCGGCGGCGGCGGCGGCGGCGTCAGCTGGGCGCCGTCCCATTATGCCCGACGAGAGGAGGGGACGGAGGCGCGGGCGACCGGCCGCCGGGGGTCGGGCCCTCTCTCCGCGCCGGCGCACGCCGTCAAAACAAGCGGGCGCCCGGCGCGACCCGGTAAACGCGTCACCGGCCCCGGCCGCCGGCCACACCCGGCTCGTCGCCCGGCGCGGCCGGTGGGGCGCCGGCCGTCCCCGAGCCGCCCGCCGCCGTGCAACACGTTGGGACCTAGCAAGATCGATCAAGCCGCTGTCTGGCAAGGCCACGGCCCGCGCGACGACGACGGAGCGTAGACCGAACAAACCGGCGCACTCCAGTCGCCCTGAGTCGGACGCCACTGTAGCCGTGCTCCACGGCCAGCAGGACAAAGGCGCACCTTCCACGTATCACACCGCCGGCCGGCGGTGTGGCCGGCCCCACGAAGGCCGGCCACACGCTTTCTAGGTGATCCAGTCATTACCACACAGATAAAGCTCGGTGACGGCCGCAAATTGCAGCGCTAAAAGAGGCAGCGCTTTCCAGCATTTGTTCATGATATGATTCTGGGAATCACGGCGAATTGATTAGCACTCTCCTCCCGGAATTACGCGAACAGTTTCTGCCGAGGTGAGCGCGGTTGAACCAGCGGCCGGCGCCGGCTGCGGGGAGGCCGAACGGTTGCCGGGCACGCAGCCGCCGCCGAAATTGCCAGCTCTCGATGCTAGCCAATAAAACGCTTTAGGGAATCAAACTGACAGAGCGGGGGCGCAAAAAAGAAGATCGATCAGGCACAAAGAGTGAGAGTTGTAACGAGACGTCGACGATACGCGAATTAACAAGATTGACAACCGTGAGAAGCTGGCTCGAAGCGAGCGAACAGGATGTGTAACGCTAAAAATCGAAGTTCTTTCCTGCCTCGTCAGATCCATTATTCGGACTGCCGCATTAATCACATCAACGTATTCCGACAGGCCCCAGTCATCAAACGTCCGACCGCACGCCGCGTTTTTCAGATCCAAACCAGTCGAGTCGCCGGTGCCGGATCCGCACAGATTGCACAAGACCCTACCGGCGCCAGCTCACACGCACACCGGGCCGGCCGGCGCGCCGTCCCCTCCCTCCCACGTGCCGGCGGCCGGGGCGGCGGAGGTCGGCGGCCGGGGGTCGGCGTCCTCTCAGCGCACGCACTCGCGCCACGCACGGCGCCAGTGGGCCGCCGCTCGGGCCGCTGGCCCCTCAAGGCCGGCTGCCGGGGTCGGTGACGCCGGCTGCCGGGACGCGCCGGGAAAGGTGGACACGGCACGGCGGACAGGGAGCAGGGGAGAGCTGCGGGAAACACCAGGGCAGGGTGGACACGGCACGGCGGACAGGGAGAGCTGCGGGAAACACCAGGGCAGGGTGGACACGGCACGGCGGGCAGGGAGAGCTGCGGGAAACACCAGGGCAGGGTGGAGACGGCACGGCGGCGGGGAGGAGGCATGACGTGGTCAGGAGCTGCGGGGACACACCAGAAAGAGGTGGGGACGGCACGGCGGCGGGAGGAGGCATGACGTGGTCAGGAGCTGCGGGGACACACTCGGAGGAGGTGGGGATGAGACAGCGGCGGGGAGGAGGCATGACGTGGTCAAGAGCTGCGGGGGACACACCAGAAATAGGTGGGGACGGCGCGGCGGCGGGAGGAGGCATGACGTGGTCAAGAGCTGCGGGGACACACCATAAGGAGGTGGGGACGGCGCGGCGGCGGGAGGAGGCATGACGTGGTCAGGAGCTGCGGGGACACACTCGGAGGAGGTGGGGATGAAACAGCGGCGGGGAGGAAGCATGACGTGGTCAGGAGCTGCGGGGACACGCCGGAAGGAGGTGGGGACAGCACTGCGGCGGTTGCAGGGCGGGCGTGACGTGGAGGAATTGCCGCGCACAGCCCCGCAGGTTCCAGGCCTGCCCAATGGGCCGGGGAGGGGTGAGGCGGTATGAGACACGACAGAGATCTCGGGGGTACAAGAGTCGGGGGTCACAACGCCGCCTGCATCGCAAGCAGAAACGAAGCGGCAATGCCGGCGAGAAGATCGGCACGAGATCCGAACAAGTGTTCCGGTCCCAGTGAATTAAACACTTGGTCCACACAAGCCGCCCGAACCGATTTAAGCAACACCAAAAAGCGGTTCACCAAACGGGCGTTGCAAGCGCCATCCCTAACCAGCACGAAAAACCAGCACCTGTTTTTCTTCGGCGCCCAATTACCACTGATCGCGAGCATGCTTAACACCGAAGCGGCCTGTGACGTCATCATGCCGATGATCCAACCACAGATGAGCCGGTGAGGAGAGAGCGGTCC